CCCCAAAACCCCAAAACCCCATAAGAGTGAATAAGGATTAAAGAAGGTGTAGGGAAGTTCAAATTTATTGTAAATACTGTTAAACTTTTCTATAAATTTTTTATTAATCAAAAAAGTTAATTTTTTTTGCAAATAAGAATAAATCCAGGAAATGGGAGCTTCTATGTGTAGTAGACGCATAAGTTGTTAAGTCAAGGAGCAGAAAATAAAGTAAATTAAGATTATTCATAATGTAAACACTAGGATGAATAAATAAAACTCAGATGTATTTGATGACTCATTCGGCTTATAGCAATAAGAAATTAGTGCTGTAACAAAAAACATTAAAGTTGGAAAAAAGATCAAGTAAGTCAAAATTGAAACAGCAAAAGCTGAAATGCATAAAAACTAAAGTGGAGCAATAGATTCAAAAAACTCTTCGTTTAGCTCCTCAGCACTTCATGGAAGTTTTAATGACAAAAATACGAGTATAATGCAGGCATTAATAAGCTCATCTATGGATTAATCTCAGGTTAGAATTATTCCTCCTGAAGAGCTGTTGTTTGCTCATAATATTTAAAATTGCGATACAAGGAGATCCATTTAAAACAGACATTAGAGTTCTTAAGTAGTTCTGTAAAATAATGGTAATATGCTGTTAAGTTCGCCAACTTTATCTCCTAATTAGTCAAAGTTTATGCAGAGAGGTGGTTTATAGCCACTTCAAGGCAAAAAAATATATATGAGAAACATGACCCATAAGCATAACTTGCAGTCTGCAGGAATAGATCATGAGAGTTAATAGTCCTAAAGGTCAGGCTAGATAAAGCCTTCTTATAGACATGGGTAGACAGTGAGAAGCAATCTAAGTGGTATGCATATTATCGTTGCTGAGTTGAATCACAATAATGAAAATCTGAGTATGCCACCAAGTGAGAATGGCTCTCATAGGTCTTCCTCCGCTAATAATGAATTCCTTAGAATGAATAGTTCTATTTAGAACGTATAAAGAGCAATTGGACATAATTCATCTTATGGAAGTGTGCCTGGTTCACCTGGTTTAATGAGTTCAGGGTCATTTAGGAAGAGTGAAAGTCATTTCAAAAAACAATAATCTAACGTGACTTTCTTGAAACTCCAAAACACAATTAAAGGAGACTAAAAGGATTTGAACACACCTTTATTCTAGCAATTTCCAATCAGAGAAACTAATAAGAGTTCATTGAGCTCGGAATATATTGATGGAGTTCATGAAGATGATAGAGAAATTCCATACTATAAAAAATAACTATCCAATTTCTAGAGTTATGTAACCCAAAGGATGAAGAATAGGAATTCTGGGGTTGAGGAAGAAAAGGAAGAAGAAGATGATGAAGCTATGGATATCACTAACAATCTTTTTGCTAGAAGAATTGACACTCAGATAACAATAGAGAAACTGGAGGATAGATTTTCTCCAGGAAAGGTTGAGAAATTTACTGAGCAAAGTGATAAAGGAGAATTTATTGAAGAAAATAAATAATTTGACACTTTTGATAGAACTGGTACAGGCACAAATACACTAAAACTCTCTGACTCAAATGTAAGAGATACCCCTAAACCTATCTTGGTGAATGCTAAGTCTATATCTAGCCAGAAATCTAATTAAGCTCATGTTTTCACTTTTGATTTCATGAATTAGCAACTCAATACTTCATAGCAATAGATATAGGCTCCAGAGTTATGCAAGAATTAGAGCCTATAATAATCTTCAGCAAAGACCTTTGGTCCCATTCTAGATGCTGGCTAAAGTTAAAGTAAAATAAAGAAGAAAATATCTAAAAGTGGATCTATGGATATTGTTGAAAAATTTCTATAAGACTAACAGGTTAAGGTCTAAGTAAGCAGTAGTTATAAGGGAAGAAATGATAAGAATATGACTGATAGAACTTAGAATGTTGATACTTTGACTGTTAGCGTTTTTGGTGGAAAACGAAGATCTTAGCAGTAGCCAAATAACAATAATCAATAAGTAATAAATTCATTGACTGGTTCAATAAGGAGGTCTCAGACCATTTCTGATAGAAAATAGAAAAAGAATAGGAAATATACAAGGCAAGATAGAGAAAACTTACTTGTCTTAGAGAAGATTTATGATTAAATATTAAGACCTCAGGCGTCTTAATCTTCTCAATCGTCTTTATTCAGATCATATGAAAACATGAGGAGTTTCAACAGTGATATTCAAAAAAAGAGAATGCAGATGCAGTAATTCTCAAGGCAAAGTAGTAGTAATTTTGATAAAGAGGCCCCTCCTTAAAACATTATCAATTCAATGAATCTACAAATTCCTTAAATGAAGATTGAAGTTTCGAATCATAATCAAGTGTAGAAGTAGTTTAGCTTTAATTTGGAGTAAAAATCGCACTAACAAAACAATAGCAATTATAATTAGAATAGTAATAGCTAGGTTGATATCTTGTCTTAGGAAGAGAGTCATAGAGTAGACACGACAAGTAGAAAGCAAGAGAATACTAGTAGTTCATCTTCAAGTTCTTCTAGCGACAATAAAAAGAATAAAAATGACATTACAATTCAGATATTTAGTGCAGCTGATGATTTTGACAAAAACAATTAAATTTCTAGGTACAATTCAATGAACTAGGCAAAGCTCATAAATTCTGATGAGGAAACCATGTAAATACTTCAACAACAAGCTTTACTTCACTGTAACACAATAGTTGAAGTGCCTGAAGAAGATTAAAAAAGCTCAATAGCTCTCAGCGATAAGGGCAGTAATTCGAGGAAGAACATTCAATTCAGCAGATTTATAAGAAAACCGACTTCGAGGTAAGGAAACAAAGCGTCTAATATGAGCATAAATTTCGTCTCTGTAGACCCTAATCACCCTCCGAAGATTTATGATTTGGTACCTAAGAAAAAGCTCATTCAAATATTTAGAAGAGTATCAGAAGAAATAAGTCAGACCCATTAACTACTTGATAAACATAACTAAATGATTTTAGCAAGTACAATTGAAAGAAATGGAGTTAGTTCTCATTAAAAGCAGAGCAATATTACAGGGACAAGTGAAACCTCTTCCTAAATGAATGGACCAGTTCAGGTTTAATCTTTCAGTATCTATGGAACAAATATAGATAAAAACCATGCTACATCTTAATCAGAGCAGTAATAACCGCAGAGTTACTTAAGCACTCCCAAGTAAGTGTATCCTGATTCAGAATAAAAAGAGTAGGTCACTACACCGGAAGTAATTACTGCGAGTCCAAAGCTAAGTTCACTAGCTATGTTTATTAGATAAAATACAAGAGCTATAATAGTTGATGAAGACTCTAGTGAAAAGAAAACAGCTAGTAGTAGATTAACATCAAATCCAAGTGTTGAAGTTATTAATCAAGGATTTGTAAGAAAGAATACAAAAATATATAGTGGAAGGGGAAATGGGAAAAAAACTCTCAGAGAAATTGTCTAGGACTAGATTAAAACAGCATAAGTGAATGGAAGAGCAAGAAATCGGGAAAACTCAATGATTGTCGAGACAAGATGCCAAAGTCAAGTTACATCACCTTATTCTTAAGGACGGAAGCTTATAAGATCGGTAAAAATGCTTGCTAAGAGTACAGATAACTTGGAAAAGTTGCCGATCTTAGCTGCAGAAGCGAGAATGAATAATCTCAAGAACATTCTTATGCAGTAATTTGGAGATAATCTTAGATTTTAGGACTAATCTTAATCTCAACTTCAAACCAAGAGAAACAGGTTTAAATAAAGAGCAGCTTTTACACATTCAAATACCTCATTAGGTGAATCTGCTAATGACTCATCAATAAGATTGAATAATCCAAAGTACTTTGAAAGCAATGCAAACTTCTAGGAGCAAGACACAAGAGTTAAGATAGAATTCCTGCATAGTGACAACATCAATAATAACGGTGAATTTAGTCCTTGCTCTTATACTACTCCTCATGATTAGAATAATGATTTACTTTTCTTCAAAAGAACATATACTCCAACTTCAAGTGGAGCTACTCCTGAGCATTCAGTTAAATTTGGTCTTAGAGATTTCAACCCTGGAGATTTTACCTATGAGCTTTAAAATATTGTCAGAGTAAGTAATTTCATTATAACTTAATTAGGTATCTGGCGACACAATATATGAACCATCGATAATGAGCAGTAGATCAAGAGATATGACAATGAGCAACTACGATTAAAATTCTTAGGCTTTCAACCAATCTCCTAAGCATCGAAGTTACAATCCAGGCGGCTTCAGGTTAAACCAATAAAATAGGCACTTGACTTAGAATGAACAAGGTAGGAGACGTAATTCTCAGTTTCCCTCGAATACTCCGACACACCAAATATCCAGCTTAAGCTCTACTATTCAAAAAACAATCAAATCAAGCTTCATTAGATCTTAGAGAAAGCAATCATTGCCTCATCATTTATTACTAAGAGCATTGATATCCAGTGGGGACAACTTAGAGTTGATTCAAAATCATAATAACTACCTACTAGCTGATAGAGACTCACCATCTGAAATATCTTAAAGATAATCATAAAATAGAGAAGATAACTATCTCGATACAAGTACTATTAAAACAAAAGTGTCGTCATAGGATTAAGATCAATAATAACTCAATTATAATAACATTATTCAGAAATTAGGAGGATCCTTTCAAAGATATTTCAGTTTAAAGGTAAACACTGCTGATTTATTGCCAGAGGCAAGGAGAAATTATAAGCCAGAGACTCCAGCTGATAGTAGCATTATTAATATGAGAGAGTCAGACTTGAGTAATTAGTTTTAGGATGATAAAACCTTGGAATCTCAGAAATTAGAGGATAGTAAGAAGGAAGATGAGGATGAAGAGATCAAGGTCCCAGATGATATAACAATAAAAAATGAGCAGATACAAGCCCCAACAATCTATCTCCCAACTTAAAAAATAAATTAAGCTAATGTACTTAATGGGCTAGGAGTAAGTTTTAGCAATAGATTGGAGAAACCTTTCAAGAGACCTGAGATGAGAAAGTAACCGTCAAATCTTACCAAAGAAAATCTAATAATGCTTGAATCCTCTAAACTGAATAAATAGATTGAAATCCCCTTAGAAAACCCTAAATTTTCCTCTAGAAAGAAAGTATCAATTCCTAATATCAAAAGCACAAAGAGTATTACCACAATTAGTGCAATATCGAGTAAAGTCAACGGGAAGACATGCATTAATTAGTATCTTATTATCTAACCAATTGGAAGGTAAGTTTAGAATATTATAATGTTAATTAGAGGTAAATTTGCAAAAGTAGTGATGTGCATTGATTAGAATACTCAGCAGTAGTATGCTATGAAAATAATGAACAAAAAGAAATTGAAGAAAATCTTTGTAGGTAAAAATAAATTCGCGTATGATGCTGTTGAGACTGAAATGGCAATTTTAAAGAAATTGGTAAGTACATTTAGAATCTAATGTATTTTAGGATCATCCAAATATTGTGAGATTATATGAGATTATTGATGATCCAAAGCATGATAAACTTTACTTGATTACTGATTTGATTAAAAATGGGACCCTTTAAAAGCTATTGAGCAAAAAAGATCTGACTGATATTTAAATTAGAAAGTTTTTTAGATAAATAATTCATGCTATTGAATATTGTCATGAAAACGCTAAGATTATTCATAGAGATATTAAGCCAGAAAATATTCTCCTAGATGAAAATGATAACGTTAAGCTCTCAGATTTTGGAGTTAGTTTTATGATGGAAAATGCTGGAGATGATAGTTTGAGTAATTCTGCTGGAAGTTATTACTATTTCAGTCCTGAAGCCTGTATAGGAGCTTCTTATAAGGGAAGAAAATCAGACATCTGGGCTTGTGGAATCACTCTATATTTCATGATATTCAAGAAGCACCCATTTGTATCAAATCTACTTCCAGATTTATTTAGAAAGATATAGACTCAGCAGATAGTTTACCCCTTTGAATTAGATGCAAGCCTTTAGGATCTGCTAACTTAGTGTCTTACAAAAAACCCAGAGAACAGAATTTCAATAGAAAAAATTAAAAAGCATCCTTGGATGACTGATAATGGGGCTGATCCTATGCCTGAATTAGAAAAGTAAGAGATTGAAATAACAGACCAGGATAAGCAAAATGCTTTCAGTAAAACCAAATTTTTGGCTGAGGTTATTATGAAAAAGCTAAACAAGATATAATATGAGAAAAAGCAAGGACTCTAGCAAATCCGCATCGAAGATCTTGATCAAGATAGTAAAAATTGAATTATCAATGTCTGAATCGCAATTTATAAATACTAAATTAATCATTTATTTCATAAATCAATCTAAAATGCAATTTATAAAGCATTATGGGGTTTTGGGGTTTTGGGG